AGTATATAGGAAACAAGTTTTAGAAATAAGTCCAGGAAAAACCTGGGGAACCACAGAAGGACTGACACCTGCACCACATAAATCAGTAGAACTATGAAAGAAACAGTGTATGCCAGCATGTGTACAAACATGGCATATTTGTGTGATGAAAGGAAGCGAGTAAGGTAGGACCAACACACCTATTTTAAGTATTTTTTTCACAAAACTATTAGAGTTCTCCAAAGAAGTAAAAAACAACAAGTACCTTTGGAATTTTTGTTAACAAAGTCTACTTGGATTTCCAAAAACCATTTGATGAATCTGTCATTCATCAGTCTTGAAAACCCTAAACTCCCAGAGGATAAAAATAAATGTCCTTGCAAGGATAAATAATTGGAAACAGATGGTAGGAAAAAACTGTCAATTTTTCAAGCGGAGAGAGGTCAATGGTGGAGTCCTGCAGGGATCTGTGCTGGAACTTGGGAGCTACTCGCTTATTCATAAATGAGCTGGAAAACAGGGTAAATGGTGAGGTGACAAAGTTTGCTGCTGATATCCATTCAGGGCAGCTAAGATAAGGGCTGACTATGAAGAAAGACTTTACAATACTGAGTGACTAGGAAGAAAAAGGCAAATTAAAGTCCGTGTAGATAAACAAATACGAAGAAATTTCTTTGAAGGGGAAAAAAACCTAAGTACACAAAATTATGTGCTCCAAGGTGACTATTACCACTTCAGGACTGAGATCTTAGGGTTATAATAGGTAGTTCTGGAAAACTTCATCCCATTGTTCACTAATAGGTAAGAAGGGAGTATTAGTAATTACTAGGAAAGGAACAAAGAATGAAAGAGAGAATATTATTAAGTTACTATATGAATGGCTGGTTTGTCTGTCTTGAATATCATGTGTAGTTCTAGTCCCATCACCTCTGAAAGGATACAATATATTGGAAATGGTCATAGGCAGGGCAGCAGGGATGATCACAAGTATGGTACAACCTAACAACTAAGGTCTGACTAAGAACCCAAAGGTCTCAAAAACAGGTAACTGAGGGGATACAGCAAAGGTGTAAACAGAGCCAGCATAGGGAATGTGTATGCAAGTCCCCTGTTCACAGCTTCTTCAAATACATTAGCTGAGGGGATCAAATGAAATGGGCAGGCAAAAGGTTTAAAACAAAAAATCACTACTGAATCTTCACACAACACACACTAAGCTGTGGAACTCCTTGTTCTGGGACACTGCAAATGCTGAAAGTTTACACAGGGTAAAAAGTGACCAAAGCCTAAACAAAATAAATATCAGCAAGAGCTTTAAATGCCAAGATCCATCTGAGGAAATCCCAGAGTACAAGTGCTGGAGAACAGAAAGTACTGAGGGCAAAGTGAGTTTTAGCTGCTCTGATGCTTCTGTGGGCCCAAGTTATGGACAACTGTCAGAGATCACTGGACTAGATGGGCCTGTGGTTTGCCAAAGCACAGAGGTTTTATGTTTGACTGTCTTCTTCCTGTGGGCATGGCTTAGGCATCTCCTGATTTCATCCTACTTGTCCACGGGACACTACTATGCCTTCGTTTTGCTTTCTCTACTTCTTTCTTTCTTGTAACATGCAATATCCTAGTAAAGAAAAAAAGTAATGACTAATGTCTAATAATGGGGAAAAAATCACAATTACAGAACCGAAGTGTTTAATTTATTTAACTTGTAAAGGAATAAATCTGAACAATTATCTTTATTTGCGATGTTTATTGCAACCCTTGGATGTGGGGTAATAAAGAACAGTAGTACCTAATTTCTAATGTTTTCACTAAGTGTTTCTGTTCATGCAGCTGCTCAGATTTAAGTGTACGTGCAAGTGTTTGTACACATGAACTTGCAATTGCAGAAGGGGAGGACAGGGGATGGAGAACAAGGCTGCCAACACTGGCTCTCAAAGTACCCTGACAGCATTATTCACACGCAACAAAACAAGCAGACTAAGCCATGGCCAAATCATAAGGTCACCTAACGTATGTTGTACTCACATACACAAAGGAAATAGCTATTTTCCTAGGATTTTTCTTCTTAATCATGTCATAGAAATATCTAGTCATAGACATGGTTAGACAGCAACAAGGACTGAAAGTGCATGTGTCCAAGATATTGTTTATCTTTTTCTTATTTAAAAAACACCTCTTCAAAACAAGAGCTATATCATGCTGACAATTTATAATGACTCATGCAGGACAGAATGTGATCAAAATCTTCCTTTTAAAGAAATGAATTCCTAAGCTTTTATTTGCAATCCTAAACCAAGCACGATCCCATGTCAGAACCCTGGTTCTAAGAAGATTTAAATTACATCAGTTTTAAGTATTATATGATCTAACCAAATGCTAACACTATGAAGGTACATAATAGCAAGCAAAATCAGAGCTATACTCGCATACTTGTTTATTTTACTACTTCAGGTTCAATTTTGTTCCTGTACTACACAGAACTATTTGCATATGCAGATGACATTACTATATTGTTTTTTGTGAAATAAGTGTCTTAAGATTACTATTGTCTATTAATTATGCTCTCGAAACGGTAAAATAATAACAGAAGTAGGTCATATAGCTCATAGAAAACCTACCATTATAACTGTCTTATTCTGCACATCGTACTCTAAGTTTTCCTTCTTTCCCACCACTGTTTTCTTCTTCAAGGGATGAATTCCAAAACAATATGGACTTTCTGGTAGTTTTCTCTCCCTTTAAGGAAACTTTTTTAGGTAATACAGAAATGAACAGTCAAGTAAATGCTGAATTAAGGTAAAATATTCAGCAGACAACAAAATCAGGCTCTTTCAACACCCAACATTGTTCTAGTTCTTCCAGAGCATACAAATTGGGAAAGATGGCCAATAACCACTTGGCTACACATGTATTCCCTTACTGTTTTAATTTTGGAGGGAAGCAGTCTGAGAAGTGATTCTTCTGCTAACATAAAACTCGTTCTATTGACTTTTAACACCAACAGTGCATCTACTAGATTTGGAGATGACAAAAATTCTGTATTGCTTTGCTTGAAAACATATCTTCAGTGTCACACCTGCACACGTGCAGCATGGTACAGACTGGTTGGGCTCCAGTAGATCAGCTGCATGCAGTGACTTCTAAACATTATTATTCACCTGTAGAGAAATGCAGTAAAGGAATCAGATTCATTTTATCTACCTTGCACTAGTGTCTGTTGGCAGGAAGAAGTGGAACCATATAAATAGAACACCATTATCTCTGATGTTGGAAAGCGCAAGGGATTTGGAAATTGTGCTGTCCTACTGCATACTGGACGTGAACAAAACAGGCTAAAATGCACCAAAGAAGTGAATATTCATGCCACCTTTTAGCAGCAGAGCCATAAGGAGAGGAGACAGCTGAAAGCAGAAGTCCTTAATGAAGCAGAGGAGACATCAGCAGTGCAAAGATGAAACAGTCTGCCCTGCCTGGTGCCAAGTGACATGACTGTGTACAATTAACCAGACCATATCAGAAGGCATGTCACTGAATGGACAAGAATAGCCACCAGCATCAAAGAGGATTCCCAATGAAGAGAAAATGAACCCACACCCAGACTCGCTGAAACTGGGGAAAAATCTACCACCCTCAAGTGATTGAAGATTAATCCCCAAGTGACAAAGAAAGAAATTATAAGCACACCTCAGTCACAGAAACAGCATAAAAATATATAATAACACACTCAAAGGTATCACAGAAAGAAATGGTTAAAGCTGTTTCATACAAACCAGAGATTTCCACTAAGTCTTATGGACTAGGTGGCAAACTGAGTAATGCTGAAGCAATTCAGCAAAAAAACTCAAAAGAATTATTGCTCAGAAACTGAAATGAATGTAGGTCAATTAAGGGGACTGAAAAAGTGATTGTGAGCCCATTTTGGAGACATTTTGCTCTGTTTCCCTAACAGCTTATTCCTGTAAAGCCAAAACTTACCGATTTTGGGGTTTTATCAGGAGGACATGTAAAAGCTATGCTTTGATTTTAGCCTTTTTCTTCCCAAATTATAGAAGAATTGATATCTTCTGCCTTGCCAAAACTGCTTTTGTTACTATCTCAACTCTACAGACCATTCTTTTCTCCTCCTTATCCTCCCAGCTGCGCACAAATCACCAATTCTCTTCTAACTCAGAGAGAAAGCTGTGCTGGAAATGCAAAAAGGGATGTCCTGGTGTTCTCCCTCTTTCTTATCATATGCTTTCCCCAGGGAGACACAGGATGTGATGGGGAAAGTCAAACGAATTCAGATGCTCTGAGACAAAATCAGCAACCGAAATTATTTTTTTTTAACACTATTATACAGTGGGAAATAAACCTTGTGAGCAAGCAAAACAGACCCCAACCAAAACTCATGAATGCCAAATCCAACGACCTCAGCTGCCCTTCTAGTTCGCCAGCAAAAGATCTCACCAACCCCTCCCTCTGAGCCGAAGTGGGCTCTGCCTTGCCCAGGTGGAAATCTGGGCTCGGGACTAGCCTTCAACAGGCTGGCAGCTGCCTTCATTCCCCGTCGCTTGTTCCAAGTGTCCCCACTGCCATTTTCTCCTGACCTTTCCAGCAGACCACGCGCTGGAGGACAGCCGGCCGCTGCCGCCCGCCCGCCCGGGAGCGGTGTGATGCTCACGGGTCGGTTCACAGACCCAAACCGGACGGTTCCTTCGGGCACCCTCGGAGGGGTGTGACGAGCTGCGGTCTGAGCCCGGTTCGGCCCACCGCCGGTCCCCAGGAAGGCGGCGGGGCCGCCCGGGGCAGCACCGGCACCGCTGTGCGACGCTGCCGAGGTGTCCCGGCAACCCTGGAATCCCCTCCCCGACCTGCCCCGCCGGGGCACCCCTGCCCGCCCGCCGCTCCTCTACCCCCTCCCGGCCCGGGCCGCAAGTTTCTCCAGAGCCGCCCGTGCCCCGCGGGGCCGGGCCGGACCGGGCCGGGCCGGGCAGGACGGCGCGGAGCCCACCAGTGCCGGGGCCGCTGCCCCCACTCACCCGAGGTCAGCTGCATCCAGGCACAGATCTTGTAGACGGTGGCTGTGTTGCAGAAGAAGAAGAGGATGAAGCAGACGATGCAGGCGATGATGAGCATCATCGAGAGCCCGATGAAGAAGGACGCAGCTTTGAAGGCTCCCGAGGGCAGGCTGGAGAAGTCCGTGAAGCTGCCCCGGCAGGTGAGTTCCCGGCTGAAGCCGTTGCCGATGCAGTAGTGGAAGAGCCCGAAGTAGCCCGCCTGCGGGGTGTCCACGCCGTCCCCGATCCAGTACGGCTGGATGAAGCACACCACGTTGACGATGGCAAAGCAGATGGTGAAGATGGCCCAGAGCACGCCGATGGCCCGCGAGTTCCGCACGTAGTTGGTGTGATAGATCTTGGCCGCCTCCTGAGCTGGGAGCATCCCCGCTGCTGCTGCTCCTGACGAGCCTGCTCCTGTCGCCGCCGTCCCTGCAGCCGCTCCGGGCATCCTCGCCGAGAAGGTCCCCCCTCCCCTTCCTCCTCCTCCTCCTCCTCCTCCTCCGCCTCCTCCTCCCCGCTCGCTCCGCTCGACGCGACGCGCTCCGCCGCCGCCGCTGCGTGCGAGAGCCGGCGAGCCCCTCTGCCGGGCTTCAGCGGCTCCGCGCCAGCGGCGGCAGCACCGACACCGCCCGCCGCCGCCTATCGGGGCGCAGCGCAGCGCCGCCGGCCGCCGCGCACCGCCCGCCCCGCAGCCC